GCACAGGGTGCCGAGTGCAGACGCATGGCATTCCAAGCTCCAGACACTGGCATATTGAGAGCAGGGCTTAGGGTGCAGTGATTGCTTTTCATTTCACTTTTTTGAAAGATCTTATTGCTGTTTTGTTTCCTGCTCAGATAGCAGCTATTCAGGTAAGTAAATATGTAAGTGGAGACAGGATGTTTCCTCTGCCTCCCCAGCCTGGAGACCAGATCCCCAGCTGCTCTCCCCAGTAAGGCCATGTCTCTCCCATAGAGAAGCCCAGAACAGCCACTGAAGGCTCATCTCCAAACAGAAACTGAGAAGTCAAATGACCAAGGCCACTTGACCAGAAAATGAGAGGCTGGAGCTCCATCCGAGAGTCCATTGCTCTGTTTGCACATTCAGGCTCTCCCTAAATGATCGGCTACAGAAATGAGCTTCGAGCTCACGTTGCCAGATCCAGTGGTTGCCAGGACAGGAGACAATCATGCCTGCTGAGAAAGGAGCAGACAAGTGCCACCAGCCCCCTTGGGTTGGAGCTAAATTTAAGAAGGTGTCCTATACCCATTTTACAGATGATGAAATCAAGGCTCCCCAAGGTTAAGTGGCTCTCTTCAGACAACAGAGGACTTTCTAACTCCAACCACTTTCTCTCAGACCCAGCCAGGCTGCATGGGGCGTCAGCTTTAAAGACCTTAATCCTTTTGAAAGGGCAGCTTTAGAAATCAGATAATTAAGTGGTTTTTCCCTCCCTAGAATGTCAAAACACCATGAGCTCAACATAGCTCTGAAGTAGAACGGTTAAAAGAAGGGGGCTACAGAGCATTGCTCATGTCGGGGTGGCATGCCCCAGGCATGGGGTGCTCTGGGCCAGCTGGAAGGAGGCTAGAAGGACCTCCTGGAGCACTGTCACTGCTGCAGATGCCTGCCCGAGCCAGCGCACAGCTCTGCACACCAATTCCCATGCTTCAGCCAAGGGTGACCCGGCTGTCTGCCTGGCCCTTTTGATGATGGGTCCAGGTGCCACGTGCTCACAGGAACGGGAGCTGTTGAGAACACCTGAGGCTGCTCACACATTTGACTGACGGCTAAGACCGGGCCTCCACCCTCAGTCACCCACATTTCCGGCTGGCCACTGAGCCAGCCCATCCCCCTCTGTATGAGCCAAATCTCTTCTGAAGATCTGAGTTCTGGGCTCTGAGGACTACTATAGGGTGAACCTAGGGAAAATGAGACCCAGAAATATAAACGGGCGACGTTTCAGCCACTCTTCACTGCCCCACGATACTCTCCACTCTTCTTTTTCTAACAGAACCCTAGTTTTGTTTGAGGGGAGCAGTAAGCCCATCTGAGCGCACGAATGCCACTAGATTCCTCCAAATTACAAGTGGTTCTGTGACAGTTCTGGTCAATGAGGCATAAACCGCGGGTTTCTGGGAACCCTGAATCCTCCTCCCTCTGCCCTTCTTTCGCCTGCAATACTGTTGGATAGAGGTGACAGAGGTGACAGAGGTGATTTTTTGCCTGAAATGCTGCTGGTGTGGTGGTTAAATCCAAGTGTCTGGAGCCAGTCTCCTTGGTTTGATACTCAGAACTGCCACTTGCAGGTCCTAAGACCCCGGCAAGTACCTTAATTTCCCTGGGCCTCAGTATTCTTGCTATAAAACAGCACCTTCCTTGTAGGTTGCTGGGGAGGGTTAAATGAATTCAAGCCACTGTGTGACTTCTCAGGCCAGTTTATGAAATACCACACAGCTTCTGCCTGGTCCTCCGGGACACTCGCCCTGGGGGAAGCCACTGCCACATAAGAAGTCCCACAGCCCTGAGGCTGCTGTGCTGGGGGGGCATGTGTGGGCGCCCCAATCCATACTCCAACCAGGCTCCCAGACATCAACCAGCATTTACTAGCAGCTATAAACATGTGTCATCTAGAATGTCCAACCCAGTCAACATCTGACCACAGTCAAACGAGAGACCCCTAGTGAGAACCACCGAGCTGAGACCTTCCTGGATTTCTAATCCACAAAACCAGGAGCAACATCATATAGTTCTAGCCACTACGTTTTTGGGTAATTTTCACATAACAATAACAACTAGAACAGAAGGAATCCTCCATAACGCTCAGTATGTTATTGTGAAAACGTGTTACGCTCTCTGAGGACATTCCATTACCCTAGGCTCACAGTAATTACACTGAATCTTCAAGAAAACGGAGTTCTCACTTCTGTCTTTTCCCAGGCAAAGACATGGTGTACTTCATCTGCATTTCAAGGGAAATGCCTTTTTTATTTTTTAAATTTTGAGATGGAGTCTTGCTCTGTCTTCAGGCTGGAGGGCAGTGGTATGATCTTAGCTCACTGCAACCTCTGCCTCCCGGGTTCAAGTGATTCTTCTGCCTCAGCCTCCTGAGTAGCTGGGACTACAGGTGCATGCCACCACACCCAACTAATATTTGTATTTTTAATAGAGACAAGGTTTCACTATGTTGGCTAGGATGGTCTCGATCTCTTGACCTTGTGATCCACCCACCTCAGCCTCCCAAAGTGCTGGGATTACAGGGTGAGGCACCCCCGAGGCCAAGGGAAATACCTTTGACAGTATTTGTTTCTTCTGAATGTTCACAGAACCTCTGGCGAGCTCTACACAATATTGAGCGGTCCGGTCCCAACCTCAGCCCTGATTGCAGCCAAAGCCAGGGAGGTCCCAAGGAGCCTTTCACGTGCCAGATTCCCAGCCCCACTGCTGGCAGCGGCGGTGACCTCGAAGGTCACAGAGACTGAACTGCCATATGCAGGCAGGCAGGCCAGGATGAGTTCAGAGTCTGTGTCCCTATTAGCTACGTAATGCGGATTTCACTGACGTTAAATGTTCTTGTGTTGGGTTTTTCCCAAGGAGCTAATTAACACACATCAACTAATTTGGCATCCTGGGGTCTCCAGGTACTATTTACAAACTGCTATTTAACTCTCTCAACAAAGGAGAGGAAGACATGACACAGTTCTTCTAAGACGAGAAGGTGGAATCCTCTCTCCTCTCTGCTCCCCATCTTTAAATGGCCCCGTTTTAAAATTTTTAACTCTTCCCATTAAACATTTTTTTAAATCTCCCCATTTAAAAATATCTGGGTAAGAGGCTGTGGAGGAAATTCAAGAGTAGGAGCCAGAGGTCCCAGGTGCAGAAACTCTGGGGTATGGCAAGACCCCTGAGGCAGGCGTGACTAACTTTGAGATCTGGGTACTGGATGCCCGTCTGCTACCCTGTCTCATGAAAGTTGCCCAACTAGAACTCAGCTGGTCATGGGGGAGGCAGGGTAAGATGCCAAGAGGAGAAGCTGGGCATCTGCTGGAAGCACCAGTATAGACTCTTAAAGAGCCACCACAGGAAATGGCCTCCAGGTGGTGCCTCAGTTTCCCCTTCTGTGAATCAGGGAGACTAAGAGTGCTTCATAGGATTGTCATGAAAATTTAATGAGATAAAAATGCAAAGTTGTGAGCACAGTTCTTGGCATTTCAGAAGAATCTGATAAGTGTCATGCTGCTGCTGTTTTGGTGTTAGCGTGGTGATCCACAGCAAGCACCTCTGGCTTCCGGACCATTCCATTCAACTCACAGCCTTGGAAGGAGGCAAGCTCCAGGCCATCAGCTCCCTGTTCAACCTCTTTGGGCCTCAGTTTCCCCATCTGTGTGATGGAGGTTCTCAGCTGCTGCATTATGGGGGTGGGGGTGGTGTGGGAAGGGTGCCAGGGATTGGGCACAGGAAGGCACCCCGGGCCCAACTGCTGAGCTGCCAGAAACCTGGAGAGCATATGTGGTGCCACTTTAGGGAGTTCCCTGTTCTGTTTCAGGGTTCCTGTGTGGAACCTGAGACCCCCAAAGGCACGCTGTGGTGCTAAGACCTAATGCCTGCCTCTCTCAGAAGCACTGTTCCAAAGCCATCACCTCCTTCCTCCCCTTCCCATCCCCCACCTCTGGACTTAGTTCATGAATCTCCCTCCCCTATTCCCTTCTCCTCATTCGGGCCCACCCAGCTCCATGTAGTTTTAGCTCCCGGTACCCTCCAGGACATTCTGCAGAGATGGCAGGTCTGTGCTCCACACTCTTGCCTTTCATCTGGGTTCTCAGCAGCTGCAGGGACCACAGAGACCACCTTGTGCCCCACCCACCTTCCTGGGTGGACACCCAGATGCTAGGTCTCTGAGACCCCTTCCTGTGAAAGCACGAAGTCCCCATTCCTGGACTGGCCCCGCTCACCACTGTGCTGTCCACACTTTCCGGAAGGGGGTGGGTACCTGTGGGTAGAGCTGGGGAGCCCCAACTCACCAGTTCAGGACTTGGAGAAAATAAAATAACCTGGTCGCACCTCAGTTTGCAGATCAGTAAAGTGGGACGATAAATAGTACCTTCCTCCCAAGGTCAATCGTGAGGATTAAAACAGAATATTCACAAAAGTCCATAGTTCTCTAGACTACAGTAAGCGCCTGCTTCATTCGTAGCAGGTGCTGTGACTATTCTCATGATTATTTCACCCTAAAACACTTTGAAGAGGACAGTGGAAAGACCCTTGACCCCTCCGGAAACAATTCAAGAGCCCCTTGGTTAAAACAGAGCCCCACTGGGCTGGGGTTTGAGACTAACCTCACCACCACCCTCAACCTGGTGGCCCAGCACAGCATGGCTGTCTCGCTGTGTAGACCCGGGTGTAATCTATGTCTGGAGATAGAACATTGGAGTTCAGTGAGGCCTGAGTTTTCTGGAGTGAGGGTCACCGCAGGGCATGCACTGGAAATCCAGCTCCCTGGGCGCTGCCTGGGAGGTTCTGATCCAATAGGTCCAGGCTCCTTCTGGGATCTGTGTTCATTAAGCATCAGGATGATTCATATGACTCCGCAGTTGGAACACGGGAGCCTGTGGGGGTGTCAACGCTTGTTCACTTGTTACAGGTGAGGTCGCCCCGTTGTCATCCCTCTCGGGCCCTGCGTCCTGGTGGTCCAGGGCTGGCGCAGTCTGGTCCAGAGGCTTAGGTGCAGCCTCTCCCATGTGCACCTGCGAGGCCTACCCTTTCTCCCGTCTCAGGGCCTTGATGCCCTCGCCTGTAAAGTGGGCATCAGCGAAGACCCCAGACGGGAAGGGCTGAGTGAGCAGGCGTGTCCCAGGGACCCTACGCGCCTCCCGCCCCTTCACGCACGGAGGTCGTCCTGCGTCTTCGGGATCCCAGGACAGCGGGAGGGGGGCCGCAGGGGCGCTGCGGGCGAGGGGAGCCAAGTGCGCAGGGCTCCAGAAACCCCCACCCTCGCAGGGGAGAGCCAGCCGAACGAGACGTGTGGGGGCAGCAGGCGCCGCGGAGGTCTGGGGCGCGTGTGTCGTCTTCCACGGGATCTGGGTCCAGGGACCCAAGACGGGGATCTGGGAGGAGGGGGATGCCCGTGGGGCCTGAGACCTGGGCGGTTTCGGAAGCGAAGTACTTCCCCAGAACCGCTCCCTACCTTCTCCCCGCCTCCCTGTCCTTTTGTCCCTCCGTGCCCTGTAGCTGCTCGCCCCTCCCTCCTCTGAAACCCACCGCCCGCCCGAGGCTCCCTCCTTCCTGCTGTCCCGCCCGCGAAGCTGCTGCAGGGACGGTGCGCCCTTGGGCTGCACTCACCACCGCCCCTCGTCCGCGACGTCCTCCTGGGCCCCCAACCCCAGCTTTTCCGCCGTTGCTCACTCCCGCGCTCCGCTGCAGCTCAGCCCGCCCTGCAGCTCTCCCTCTGTTTTCTGCCCCGCTCTTCAGTTCTGCGCTCTCCTCTTCTCCAGGCTTCCCTCTCCTCCTCCTTCCTCTCCCTCTCCCCTGTCCCCTCTCCATTTTCCTGCGCCCCTCGCCAGCGCGCTCGCAGCCCATCGGCACCTGCCAGGGCCCTTCTGGTGCCAGCCGCCTTCAGGCTGTGGGCCCGCCCGCTGGTGGAGGGGAAGGTCCGGGCGGACCCCGGGCACCGCGCTGCTGGGCCCCATGGGCAGTGGAGACGCCTCCCAGCCTCCCTTCAGAGCTCCTGGTCGGAGGAGTCATCGGAGGACCAGGAAGGAGGACCCCCCCACCCCCTGCTGCAGCCTCCGCTGCGAATCCCCCCACACCACACCTCTCACCCCAGAAGCACAATCATCATTCCCCAGCCCCTTTCAGACAAAAGGAAGAGCGCGGTGCGGTTGATCAGAGGGAACCTTGACTCAGTTCATGGCGCGCGCGCGCGCGCGTGTGTGTGTGTGTGTGTGTGTGTGTGTGTGTGTGTGAGATATTTATTTATTTATTTATAAGTAGAGGGGAGAAATTCCTAAGAAAATGGGCAAAAATTACAGATAGTCCCATTTTGTCCGGTGTTATCATTGGAAAGGGAGGAAAATGAGGAAAGAGCCAATATTTGTGGAGTTTGTTTCGGGCTAGAAATAGAAACAGACTGCAGTGGATTAAGGAGGTGGCCAGAGAAGCGAAGCTTATTGAGCCCTGAAAATCACCTTGTAAAGGTGGAGTTCCTCAGGTTTACTCCTCCGGGATCCCTCCGTGGGGAGGAAGAGAAGACAGGGTCAGTGCTGAGCCATCCCGGGTGTGTGGACCTGCTGGGCTAGGTCTGGTCTGGGCCGTGCTGTTACAGCCCCCACTGACAGCGTCCCGGTGGGACAGGGGGATGACAGAGCCAGGAGGGGCCAGAATGAAAGTCGCAGAAAACCAGAAACAGGCTACAAACTTCTCCAGTCTGCCCACCCTCCCCTTCCCTTTGTTTCATTAAAACCCATTTCCAATTAGAGGGGCCACAGGCCAGGGAACATGGTGAGCCCAGCCAAAGACACTTTTAGGACAGGCGGTATAGAAACGCGGTGCTTTGGTAAAGAAATCAAACTTTAAAGAGATCATCCCTCCCTGGACAGCATCTTGAAAAAGAGTCCCAGAGCATCAGCAATGGTCATCTCTGGCTCAGTGGGGACAGAATAGTCTCTTGACCTTGATCTTAAGTCATTTCTTTGTGATGCCTGAAACGTGGGCACTGAGCATTCATCGTTTCTTAATAAGAGGGGACAAAAGAGTAATATTTTGGACTTTTTTTTTTTCAAATAAAATGAACAAGGATGGGTGCCTGGGGGTGGAATGGAATTCTGTGCAACCTCAGATGATGTAGAATCTGCAGCAGTCTCTGTGTGGTACAGAGAAGACCCTGACGTGCCTACCTGCCCCAAAGGGTGGTTGCAAATTGAGTTCAAGCGGGAGTTTAGACCGCTGCTTGGTTCGTAGGCAGGGATGGTCAGTGTCATTCTTGTTATAGTATTTAGCACTTGATCCGCGACGCAGAAGTGAACTGAAATTCGGTTTTCTTGCCTCTCACTGGGGACTGTGCTTGGTGGTAAGCTGCTGCTCTACCTAAGGTGATGGGGGTGCCTGAGCAGGAGGTGGTGCTCCGTCCGCTGGAACTGCTCCCTCCCCTAGAACTCAGCCTGCCTGCCCTGGGTCTGCCACAGCTGACAATTCCATCTGGAGTCTCCCCTAAGGGAGGCAGCTCCCAAGTCTTTGCTGTTAGCTCAACCTCAGCCACAAAAATCCAAGCCGCTCCAGGTCCCCACTGCTCTGCTCCTGTGTCTTCCTTCTCCTGGAGAGCACCCTGCAGAAGGCGATGTGGCTTCAAATAACAACCACATTCACTGAATTGCACAGATTCGGCCAATTTGCCAAAACGCCTCAGGCTTTCCACCTTTCCGAAGCCCACGCACGGAGCCCTGAAATGCCTGCCCACCCGCGGGACACTCACACCCCTCCAGATCCTAGCAAGGCTGGAGGCTGAAGGTTTTAAGGTGGCTTTCAGTTCTACTGCCATGAAGGATTCCCTTGTTGAAAAATATTGAAGGGTAAAGGGAGATGTTCAGGCAGCTAAATGAAGAAAGTAATTTGCAAAACAGCACCTGCACAATGTGGTCCTGTTCTTACAAGGACATGGTAAAATAACTGACAGGAATAACAACAGCTAATGCTTACTGGGTGCTGACGCGATGCCAGGCAGTGCTCCAAGCATGCACCCTTCCATGTGTGTGTGTGTGTGTGTGTGTAACTTACACACCAAAACACCAAACTGTGGCAAGTGGTTCTCTTGGTGGTGGCTTTGTCATGTTCCTCTGCCCTTGTGCAGTTGTATATGGTCCAGGTATTCTATAAGAAACACGTTTACTTTGTAAACCATTCCTGTGAATTTTTTAAAAATCATGTAAAGTCCATTTCTAGCACCGTTCTGAAGTGGAGGCGCTGGTATGGGAAGCTGCAGCACTGAACTGGCTCTGCACTGACTCCTTTCTCCCTCAGGACTGGTTTCTCAGAATTCCGTCTGTGAGTGCTGCAGGACTGGAAGGGATTCATTTTGGGATTTTCAGTAGTAGCTTAGCAGAGGCCTTAGTCTACTCTCGATGATCTATACATAACAGTAAATAAGACTTCTCCAAAATGATGTTTCAATCAACCTCCCCAGCCACATCGAAGCCCAGCAAAAACCTTTCTCCCTCTGGCAGGTGGCTTTTCTCTTCCTCAGGAACAATGTCACCTCTCTGCACCGTATCTGTTGTGATGGAAAGTGGGGAGGAGGAAGCCCATCCCATCTGATCTGAACCTTCTGGAAGCTTCTGATCTGAACCCCTTGGAGCTTACAATGGGGGGACTGGTCTCAGGTCCTCCCTTCCCTTTTGCTGTCGCTATTCCCTTTCCCCTCTATTTTAATGGTAGACAAGTTCAGCTCAAAGAATTGCTCAATTCCGCCAAATAATTGCACTGTTGTTGTTTTAACTGAATTGGTCAATCAGTGTAATTAAAGCAGGCAGGCTGATAAGCCCCTCACGGCCGGGGCTGTGCTGATACTTCAAACCATATCCTTAGTAACACAGAGTTCCATCTTGGTGTATGTGTGTATGTGCAGTGTGTGTGTGTGTGTATTTGTGTGTGAGCATGAGCATCTTGGTTTAAGAAAGTAATCATTTCATTTAAAAATGATAGACAAAACTGTTTGGTCAACGTGAAATCAATTTATAAAAGACTCTTCCAAGCATCCTAAAAACTTTTCCCTCTCCAGATTCCGGGAATCTGGGTTTTGGAAATATTTTGTCTTAAATAATTACATGTTAAGTAAAAGGTGGGAAATGTTTTGTTGTTAATATTTTGGTGAAGTGTATATATTGAAGTATATATTTAACATGAAAGACACGACTCCTCTCCATGAAACTCTGTGTTCCAGGAGTGTGAGTATGTGAGTTTCGAATGGAAGCATTCTTATGCCCAGCATCAGACACCCTGCATTGATAGAAGTGTGATTCCGGTAAATGTTGTGTTCCTTGCTGACCTCAAACATGGAATTAAATCTTGTGACAGGCATTGGGAATAGAGGGGGAAAGGGCTGAACAGATGGAAAGTTCAAACAGTGACTGCATGCCAGCATCTTCGGTGCAGGCTGCCCCCATGCACAGTGTATCCCCTCCCTCCAGCCACTCAACTCAGAAACCCAAGGTGCCCAGAAATCGAGATTGATGCTGTAGTGAGACTCAGGGGTCCAACTAGAAGCGGCAGCTCTGCACCAACAGTGGCAAAAAAAAAAAAAAAAAAAAAAAAAAAACTCTAGCAGCCCAGAGCCCTGGGTGCAAATCTCCGCTCCACCAGTCACTGGTAAGATGATCCTAGCAGGACCAGGACTGGGGAAAGTGAATGAGACTCTTAGCTTGGGTACAACATTAAAGGCAGCACCGAAACACTCAGCCATCAAGATAAATAATATTTTAATGCAGTATCTTAAAAAATCAAAATGAACGCAAAAGTCTGTGATGCACAAAATATCAGCATTTAAAATAAAGATGGGATCCATCTCAGCACTTTCCCGTGCTCCCTTGCTTGCCTTACCCTGACCCTGACCCTGTATGCCATCTTGATTTAAAATTTCACATTTTGTTCCTCATGGATTTATTTTTGGATGGATTTACATTTTTTTTGGTCTCGACGACTAAATGTGTTGGTGCCCCCAAGGTGAGGGTCTCTCTCTTGCCTCACCCTTGTCCTCACCCTGCAAATAATCTCACATTTCTGAACCTTAGTTTCCTTGTCTAAAAGGCAAGGTAATAACTGCCTCTCCCTGGGACTGACGTGACTCCAGGAGCACAGGTGGTGAATGAGGAAGCTGGCAGGCCACCTGCCACCCACTGTGAACCCAAATGGAGAGGCCTTCCAGACCCATGCAGCAATTCTGGGGGACTGGGGCCCGAGAGCGAGGTTCGACTCCCAGTCCATCCGTCCCTGTCTGTCTGACACACAGTCACCACATGCATTCTGCTGCAAGGCCCCGGGGCTGAGCCCTGTGAAATCCTTGCTCCAGGGGTCACACAGCGTAAGCAGGAGACAGGAATATGACAGGATGGGAGGTCCCAGGGCTGTGTGCACAGCGACAGGCGTGATTACAAGAGTGCACGGGGACTCACCCCGGCCAGAGACAGGCATACAGGAAGGTTTCCCAGGGGAGTAGAGACTTGGTCCAGACTTCAGAGAATTTGGAGAGGAGACTGAGAGTGAGCCTGTATCTGGGATAACTGAAAAAAAAATAACTGGCTTAAAAAAATCTCCATGTGTGACAACTTACGTCACTAAAGCAAAGTGTGGATTTGAGTTACTAGGTAGTAATAAGAGTTTTGGAAAATGGACACAGCCCTGCGTTTAAGGAAATTGTCTTTTCATGCTGGCTGATACACATGTAAGCACACACACGCACACACGCACGCACACACACCCCACCTGGCGTCTCCATCTAGCATCCCAGGGCGCCGTCAACCTTTCTGCTTCCTCCCTCATCCCGTGTTTCCTAGAACTGCCATGAAGCTGACATGCAGCACGTACTCGCTGCTGGGCGTAGGTGGCCAGCCCATGGCTCCTTCCTGTACCCATTGCTGGCAGATCCCGTGCCCCAGGGCAGCTCCTACCATCAGTCCTGTCCTCTGCCCTTGCATCTACTCCTTAGCCGCATGTCAAGGGGCGCTGAGCAGGTGTGTCTGTGCTTCACTCAGGTCTCATTAGTGGCTGTCAGTAAGCCCTGAATTCTTCCATAGAACCCTTAAATCCTTCCTCAATCCCCGCAGCCCACGAGCAAGCCTCCTAAATCCGATCAATTAACACAGCCCAGAAAGTGGATCCATTTGCAGGAAAGCTATAAGCTTGCACCTAATCGTCCTTCCCTAGGGGACTGGTTAGAGCAACTGTAGGACGGCAGGAAGGAGCCCTCCATGGACATGAAAACATCAGGGAGAATGGTATGTGTTGACGTGGAAATATGTCCATGACATATATTGCTAAGTTTAAAAAATGTAGGCTCCAAACCAGCAGATGAATATGATTGCACTAGATTCTGAAACGGGTGTGTTGGGCGAGTGTTTATACAGAGATGTCTGGGGCAGGAGAGGCCTGGGGGCCACCAAATATTCCCAGCAGTTACTGACAGTAAGACACCAGGAGGGTTCAATTTTAAAAATTGTCTTCTTTATTTTTAGAATTTTTTTTCAGTGGTTGAATTTTTGACATGGGTGTGCCTGTCTTCATAAGAAGAAAAAGAAAAGAAAAAAAAAAACCAGCTAGGCAATTTATAAGCTTCCACGGAGCATTTTTAATAAATAAGCAGTGTGGGGTTTTCCAGGTAAATGGAATATGCAAACCATGGGTGCCGGGGCTGGGAGGAAGGGACAACAGGGGACACTGCTTAGTTGTGTAGGGTTTCCTTTTGGGGTGACGAAATGTTAGGGAACTAGAGAGGGCTGGTGCACGTTGTGGTTACTCTGAACATTCTGCATTTACTAAATGCCACTGAATTGGACACTTGGAGACGGTTAATTTCCTGTTACGTGAATTTTACCTCAATAAAAAAGTGCCAGATTCTCTAGTAAAACAAGTCACCTAATCAAGTTATCTGCGTGTCTTCTAGTTTTATATGTAATAATTTACCTGATTTGGAGCACGCTGGTGTGGGTGCTCCAGAGGATTGGTCTGTCCTGAGGCTGGAACCTGATTTCTCAGCCTGCTTTTGTGGTGCCCAGAGGCACTGACTGCTAATGAATGGGATGCAGGGAAATAATTTCCAAGATTCCTTTAGGTTCACAAAAATAGAGTCTTCAGAAGAAGGAAACCTCTCCACATATGACATCTGATCATTTTCTTATAGTCAATGTCGCTCTTCATTTCTCCTTCACACAAAGTTCTAGTCTGACATCCATTGAAACCAGAACTTCTAGAACTTTCTTTTCAGTAAAACGTTCTCTCTCTCTCCCTTCCATTCCTCTTCATTGCATACAATATTTGAGATAGCTTATAGGAAACCACTGTTAAAAAGGAGTAAATCATCAATGTAAGAATACAACTATGGGAAAATATAAATTAAAGTTGAATATCAAGATTTAGAGAGGAAATACTTAGAACTCATCCACTGAAGCTCTGACATTCCGCACAGCTGCTGTGGCAGGCCATGCATTCAACCCCCCGCTATATTTATATAGCATGTTTACCTCTGGAGGACATTCACTCATTTTACCCTCAAGAGTTTCCTGGGAGGTGGACAGAGGCTGAAGAACTCTGCATGTGACGGACGGACACTGAGGGCCCTGTGGCCCCCGCCAGTCCTTATCAAAACCCTCCAAACTGATCAAACTGTACGTGGGTTTCTTCACCTACATACAGCAGACTCGCACATGCCACTGTAATGGGTATGGCCCGTCTCACACACACATGCACGCACACAGACACACACAATGGGGTTCTTACACACACAGACACAACACACATCCAGACCGGACAAGCATGCATATTTTTATTTCAGTGGGTAGGAACAGGAGCACCGTTTCGGCCAGGACTCCACAGGGGCGATTTATGGACCTGGAGCGTCTGAGTGCATGTGTGCTGCTGGGTGGGGTAGGGTGGGGCAGGAGCACACGGAGGGAGGCTGGAGGGTGCTGGAGAGAGGATGGGTCGTCTTGATTTATACAGAACCACATTTACAGCCTGTCCATTGCGGAGCTTCACGTGAACATCATCTTCTTTTTTATCTCTTCCTTTTAGAATCCCATGTGTCTCCCTCCTCCCTCCTGTCTTTCCCTCTCCCTCCTCTCCCCTTCTCTCTCTCCCTCTCCCCCTGAGGAGGCCCAGCTGGAAGGAGACAGGGCTCTGAGTTCAGTCCGTGCAGACAGGACTAAAGTAAACATGCTGGTCATCGGGCAGGCAGTTAGCAGCATTTGGACAGATGATCAGTGCTGGGCTGGTGAGGACCACACACGCAAAGCCCCCTTGGACCACACAGGCGTGTGCCTGCCCGCCCTGCCTACGCACACGCACACACTCGGAGTCACACACAGGACGCCCTTCCCATGCCAGCGTGGCTCTTCTTTGCCATGGGACATTTGGAGAGGTGTCTTCTCAACACTCACAAGTTACAGGCCCATGCTGGCCTTGCCAGAGCCCCCACACCGAGCCAGATCCCCTTGAAGAAGCAAAAGGCTGGGGGCCTCCCAGTCACATGCTCTGTGGGTACCCTGGGCACGTCCCTTCACCCTTCGAGACTTCTGCCTCCATCTGTGGGACGGGGTGTTCACAGTGGCTGCTGTGCAGGGGTATGGACGGTTGCCTCCCGTGTTCTTCACTCCCTGTGTGGACTTCAGCCGTGTCATGATTTCACTTCAAACAAGCGGTCTACACCCTCCCAAGGCCTGGGGGTCAGGACCCCCGCTCACATGCCTTGGCTCTGCACCACTTGGTCACCTGGGACAGCCCCTCCACTTCTCTGCCTCAGCTTCAGCACCCCTGGAGCAGGGAGAGCAACGGGCAACCCGGCAGATGGACTAAGGCAGGCCACTGGTGCCAGCCACAGATGCTAGGCATGGATACTGGCCCACAGATGCTGGCCACAGATGCTGGCCATGGATGCCAGTCACAAAATACTGGCCACAGATGCTGGGCAAGGATACTGGCCCACAGATGCTGGACATGGATACTGGCCCACAAATGCTGGCCACAGATGCTGGGCGAGGATACTGGCCCACAGATGCTGGACATGGATACTGGCCCATAGATGCTGGCCACAAATGCTGGGCATGGATACTGGCCCACAGATGCTGGCCATAGATGCTGGCCATGGATGCCAGTCACAAAATACTGGCCACAAATGCTGGGCATGGATACTGGCCCACAGATGCTGGCCACAAATGCTGGACATGGATACTGGCCCACAGATGCTGGCCACAGATGCTGGCCATGGGTGCCAGTCACAAAATACTGGCCACAAATGCCAGCCCACAGATGCTGGCCACCAGTGCCAACCACAAAGGCTGGACATGGATATTGGCCCACAGATGCTGGCCATGGATGCCAGTCACAAAGTGCTAGCCACAAATGCTAGTCCACAGATGCTGGCCACAGATGCCAGTCACAGCTGTTTATAGGCTGCCACTATTCTGTGCAAAGACAGCCTGGACTCCCACCTAGACAGTGACTCCCTTAGACCTTTTCCCACCGTATTTCCCTCAAAATCTGCACCCCTCCTAGGAGGCTGGGCATTCATGTCCTGTCTGTCGTGTGCCCTGAAAGAGTCACCAAGGGGAAGGTCTCTGACGGAGGCGTGCTAACAATCGCATCCTGCGCAGCATGTTAGAAGACACCCCCGTCCAATAAAATGCCCCCCTCCACTGGCACAGATGGGCAGGCAGCCGAGGAAAGAGACTTAAGAACTGGTTGCTTCTCACTGTTCAACTCCTCTTCTTAAACACTCCCCTAATCCAATTCCCGCCCCCAAATAGTCCATGTCTCTGAGAGGGCTCCCAGGTGCCAACACCTGCCTAATGAGAAGGGGGCCAAACAAAGCCCCTGCCTGCTGGCCAAGGTGGGGCTGGTGGTGCTGTTGGCTGGAGGAAGGAAGCCCATCTCCCCAGATTCACTCTGCTTATCAGGGTGATGGGGGAACATGGGCTGGGCGAGGAAGTTCCCATCCGGGGGACACCCTGAACAACGTTCCAGGATGGACTATATGGCCCCTGGCCGCCCACTGCACCATCTGCGAGGCATGTGACACTCCCAGCACGGCCAGTGGCTGAACAGGGCCATCTGTCTTCGTTAAGCGGGTTTGTTTGGAGGAGGTGAGCGCTGGGGGCTGTCACAGCTGAGGAAGCCTGATCTATTGGCAGAGGTGCTTTGAAGCCTCCTCAAGGATGCAGCTCTGCAGACCATAGCACGCGGATGCAGTCCCAGGCACCTTCCCACACGATGGGGGATTTCTAGTCCTGGGGCTCCAGGGAGAACCCCTCCCTGGGGGAGTTGGGTGTGGACTTGGCCACTGCCCTCCGCCCACTCGTCTCCCTCCACCTGGTTCATTTGTACTGCGCACCTACCATGGAAAGGTACAATCCGGGCACGGAGAGCAGAGAAGGTACAGTCCAGGCATGGAGGGCGTAACCGTGGGGAGTCTCCTAATCTCGGGGGAGGAATGAAGTCTGAAAAACTCCCTGGATTCCCAGAGTGGGAGGAGAACACCAAGGACAATGAACCAGGATCGCAGGACAGACAGCAGGACTTCAGGGCCAGCGGTCAGGGCAGCCCTCTTTGGGGGCCCCATTTGAATTCAGATCTCAGAAACTCCTGGAGAGATAGCATTACTTGAGAATCCGTGTGTCCGTCACTCTGAGTCAGCCTTCAAGCCCCAGCCTTTCTTGCCTCTGAGGCCTCTGCCTGGCACACCAGCCTCAGTTCCCTTGTTGCAAAACGGGCACGATAAGTATAACTAACTCCTAGAGGTGCTTGGAGGGTTGAGTGAGATCAAGCATGCACAGCGTGTGGCCCACGGCGAGACCTGGAGAAATGCCAGCTGCAGTTACAATGACTGTGCGAGAATCTCCACATTTAATCTGTGGGTGGTGACACGCCAATGGGAGAGGAGCTCTGCTGTCTTGGGCAGGGAGGAAAGTCAGGACCCCTTTGTCCTGTTCCTTGGGATAGCATGATATTACTAGCGGATGACTCTAGGTGGAAGAAAGCCTTTCCTTGGAGCAGGGACCCCCGTATCATTTTCCTCTTGGTACCTCCCAGAGTCATCGAGAGGAGAACAAACCCACAGTGATGTCCTGGAGAGAGGCTGCAGCTAGAGAAATAGGGAATCCACTGACACACCTTTAAGAAATGCCGGGTGATCACTGTTGTTTAAATTCCAGTGACTCCCCTCACTAGACTTCCGGGGTTAGAATCCTGGCTCGATCCCACATGAGGGTGAGACCAAGGCAAGTCACCTATCTCCCTGAACCTCAACACACTCATCTGTGTAAAGGGCCCAGTCGCCCTACACACAGAGGGCTTGCAAAGATAGAACTAAAAGAAGGGAGGCGTGTGCCCAGCACATCGTGGGCACACTGTCAATCTGCTTTCTATTTTCCCTTTCCCTTTCCCTCCCTTCCTTCTCCTGTGGCTCACTCCTCCTTTTTTCTTAAACCACTAAAATACACTGCAGAGACACTCAAAAACTGCCAGACATGACCAGCAAGGACACGCAATGACTTCAAAGTGAGGGTCAGAGTTTGTCCCCTCTGTCTGCAGAAGCAGATTTGGGTTAGGATGGGAAATCTGAAATACAAGCTCTGAACGTTGCGTTTTTACATCCAGTCTTGCGGGTGCCTGTGCTCCATGCCCTCCCAAAGCCAGGCCCCTGAGCTGAGTGGCTTCAGAAAGTAGAGCCCCTCTGTCTTTGGTTTCAAGGGGCAGGCACCATTGTCATCAACTGAACAATTGAGACTTACTCCGTGCCAGCCCCTTGAGTTGTGCAGGCTCCAGTGCACGGATCCCTCCCACCAGTAGGACTCAGGGACCACCCACACCCCTCTTTCACTACTGGAGAAACCAAGGCACAGAGAAGAAATGAAGCCCCATTCCAAG